AGGTACCAAATCCCATTGTCTTTAGTACCTACTGCTGAAAAAATCACTGAGGTTTATGGTGATGTTTGTGCAACAAGCACAATTAGCCGAAACTTTGCTGAAAATATCTATACTCTGTTCTGTGCAACAATCAAAGAAATGGATGAACTACCGCTTGAGGAAGTCACTGAGGAAACCATGTTGAAGTGGAGAACTGCAATAAAGGATGCTTTATGTATCAAGTTTAAAGTGGAATTTGCCATGGAGCATCTGAAGAAAACTATAGCTGGTCGATACTTTGGTGTGAAACCATACAAAGAAGCTGAGAAAATGGATGATGAAATCTCAAAAGCAGAGGCTAGACTGAATGGTTTAAAGGAGTGCAAGAAGTTCAGAGACATTGCAAAAGAGTTTGATGGTAAGCCACTCAGTGAAGGTCTATGGGGTTATTCTGTCTTTGAAAAGATGTAATTTTCTTTCTATTTCCAGTTTCATCACTCTTCTTGTACAAGTGACGCTGTTGTATCTGTTTCTTCTTTTGTATTTCCATTTGTATCTGGGAGTTTTTTCTTTTTTTTTTTGTATTTCTTGCATGATCGTCTATGTAGAGCAACACCTTCTTCTTGTATTTTGGAGTTTCCCTTTGTATACCTTGGGTGATTGTCTTAGATAGACCAATAGTTCTTTACTCCATTAATAAAACTAAATGACAATGACCAATTAACTTAAAATGGTTAGCGGAAGAAGTCTGGTGCTGAAGTACTCATCGAATGTGGAGCTCAGTTTTTTCTCTTAATTTCATTCATAACAGTTGCTAAACATAAGCAACATATACATAGTAGTTCATGAACGAAAGGAAGTTAAATAAATACCACTAAACATGATTTACATAGGACTGGAAAAAATAACTTTAGATAACCATACCAACAGTTACAAATCCAAAAATCAATTCTGCTTCAGCACCCCTCCTTTCTTGATCTTGATGTGTTTAGTCCTACCATATTGGATTGGATTTTGATTAATAGCAATTACTGACATGTTATCCACTTAAGCACACAAGGTTCAATCTATTCAAAACCAAGTTCTTCTAGTACCATTCTGAGCCAAACTGCATGATTTGCTGCGATTCCAGCTACTAAATATTCAGCCTCAGCAGTGGACTGAGCTATAACTTCCTGCCTCTTAGAATCACAAGAGAAACTCCTTGAACCAAATAAAAAAAAACATAACCTATTCTGCTTATCATATCCTCCATAGAACCTACATTTTCTTCATAGAACCTGTCCAATTACTATCTCAATACCCCTGTAACTTTCCTCTTTGATTATTGTCACACCACAAACCAATTTCATAGGTTCCTTTGATGTACCTAAGAACTCTCTTGGTTGCAAATAAATGAAGCTTTACTAGGTGCAGACACGAATCTTGGTAAGTAACTTGCTGCAAACGTGAGAGCGGAACTAAAAACGGTTCATTGACTGGTTCGGTTTTCAAAAACCTTGAGTAACCAGGGCTCCGTGAGAGGGTGGCATTTTCGTTATTTTCAAACTGGGGCCTTGTGACAGGGCGGTACTTCTGTTATTTTCCTCGTAAATTCATGAGCATTGTTTTAGTTAGGATTGATAATTTTCAATAATTTTGTTTAATTTAATAAATAAAAATATGTAAATTATTAATAATAATTTATTTATTTTGTATTACACAAGATAAAGAGTAATTATTTAATAATAATTATTACATTTAATCTTAAAAAAGAAAAATTACATTTTATTTTAATTAGACATATCACCATGTTGACTTCTTATTGATTTATTTTAAATTAAAAATCACAAATGGTCTTTTTAATTTAAAATTTTACATTTTTTAAGAAAAAAAACTACAATAATTTCTCAGTAATTATATCTTAACCTAAATTCTTATGATAAAATTTAGATGAACTCTATTAATAATAATAATTATCAATAGTTACATTATAATTCTATATGAAATCCTTAACTACTACTTTATCTATCTTAAAATAATTTTTTTAATTTTAAATTTATATTAAATTAATTTTTTTATTTTATAAAATAAAAAATATTTTTTTTACTTTAATTTTATTGTTATCAATTCATTTTAATTAATTACCCAATCATTAAATATCTCTCTTCATCTTTTATTTCTTTTTAAAAGATATTATATATAAATATAAATATTATATTTAAATTCTTAATTTAAAAAAATAATTATTATTTTGAAAAAAGAAGAAGTAGTTTCCAATTTTCAAACCGATGCATCAAACAGCCCGTTAATGTCCTTTCAGGGCTTATGAGAGAATGGGGAAAATCTAGGGGCTTAACACTAGTTTTTGCCATGGTCTTATGATGCAAAATAGAGGAGGCGGTTCAACGACGGAAGGGGGCTCTCCGGTGGAGTGAAGTGAAAGCTGTTCACAGCGGAGGAAGAGAGGAGAAAGAGAATGGTGGTCACTGCAAACTCAAAACGTTTCCTTCCTCCTTTTTTTGAGATTTTTGGGTGTTTTGGAGCTTGGTGGTGGATTATTGAAAACTAATTGTTTATTTGATTTAGTTTGGGGGTTTATTAAGTTAACTTCTGCGTTGTGCAAGCCTTTGGGATCGCTTCTAATTCCTTAATTTGCTTTGTATGTTTTTTGAATGCTGCATTGTGTTGTATTCTGTTTGTAGGGCATATTCTCTAGGCATTTTGTAAGGATAGCTAGAGATCAATGATCTCGGGTGTAATTGCACCAAACCAGAAGTCTTTCTCCAGTCCGCGCTTGCGCTCCGAGATAACCTGCAAAGCCCCGAGGTGGAACTCGGGGTAGACACTCCGATGCTTAAGTCAGCAATAATCGGGGCTACCTTTAAGGCGGAGATAAGAAAAGCTTAGGATTAGTTTCAATTACCTTTTTGACGTGGCCTGGTGGGGTATTTATGGGATCCAATGAGGAACCCACGTGGCATGCCAAGCAAGATAATCGGAGCCTGATGTGTCTATCCAAACGATTATTCCGGGACCGGGAATTTGAGAGGTATCCAGGTGCACGAGCGTCCACCATACTTGCTGTGCCACTCATCATAAGGAATCAGGTACGAGCATGCTTATTACCATTGTCGTGCAGCTATTTGAGCGGGAAGCTTTGAAATTATTCCTCACTTCAGTCATAGAGTAATTACTGTAGCGGTCCGAGGCTTGGCACCTCGGACCTATCCTTACACTATTCCCCCCCTCCCCCCCGAAGTCATTCACTTGTGAATGATGTTATTGGGGATGTTGAGGGGAGTGCAAGTAAAAGGATGAAATAAAGTCTGTAACTTGAATGTAAACATAGCCGTAGCTAATAATTGAATATGTAGCAGTGGGTTACACTGGGAGTGTCTTTAATGAAATATGACCGGAGTGATCATGGTTGTGGTTGTGGTTGTGTAAAAATAATTACCAGAGTTAATCGTGGCTGTAGCCATAATAAAATATGATGACCGGAGTCATAATGGCCGGAGCCGCAATAAAATATG